TTACTTTATCGTGTCTTTATATTTAGTTCCTCCTTTTTCACATTGTTTGAAATCATTTTGGTGTATCTGACTCCATTACTCATATTTAGGTAGAAATTATATATATTTTTTTATGTATTCATATTTAGTTTAATCTTTTTCACATTGTAACTGTATAAACACTCTAAAAAATAAATTCTCTCAACACTAGCAGCAAGCCCTTTCAACTCTTTTTTTTTTATATTAGTTTTGTGTACTTTGCGACTCCAATATTTTGCATCCTTAACGATAAATCTTGCATTTAAATAGAAGTAAAGCTTAAGGAAGCAAACTTACGTATCGTCTCTATTTTTTTTCTTACACTTTTATGTATAGTTCATAATTCTTCTTCCTCTTTCATTTTTTATTACTTCCTTTTTCTTTTATACGATTTATAAAGTATTATTATTTTATTATTATTATTTTGATTGCTTACACACCATTGTTATGCATTCTTTCATTGCTTGACAAGAACGAGCTCAAGTATCATCTCCACTTTAGTTCACCCTTCTTTTTTTTTTTTTTTCAATACTTTGTTTGTGTTTTATAGAATATTTACATAGTATTGATTTTTTAGAGTTTTTTTCTCAGGGTTCATGCTCTTGAAACGAAAGGTCAGTTAATCATATCCGCTCATCTTGAAAAAAGATCTAATGGTTAAAGCAGGGCGCACGCTTCATCTGCCTGAAACCTTATGCTCTATAAATATGTAGTGGATCAAGCTTCATCTTACGCTTTCTGTTCTAAACCGAGGGTATACTCTTGTCATCTTGTTAGAAACTTTTTCCTTTCTTTTGACACCTTAAGGTATGCATTGTTTCTTCTTTTACCCTTCTCTTTTCCTGTTATTCTCATGGCCTATTCACTTAAGTAGGAGGATTCGTTGTCGGATCATGCGAGATCGACTACTACTATTAAGGTTGGAGACCTCAGCAGCACTGAAAGGTTTGAGGAAGTTTCTTTAAGGCTGAACACTGCTGGAGATAGGCCTAAGACAACTGTTAGGGAATGTGAGGACAATGCCGAATTGTTAAATGTTGCTACTAATAGCACTAAGTCTAGTGAATCATTGCCAAACACTAGCTCCCGAAGAGAAAGGTCATCCTTTTCCCCTATATAATTCTTGGATACGAGTGATTTCACAGTGAAGTGACCACCTACTTCTTGTGTTTCAACAAAATAAACGTCTCTAGGCTTTTGTAGATCATTGTGATATATCACTATGGGAGGCTTCAGATCCTTATCCCATAACCATAAACGTCTACCAAGGGGATGAATCTGGTAATCCCGATCTAGTATTTTTAGGAGATGATGTTGAAATGGTTAACACCTTCTTTGTATATGAATATATGTTTAGGGACCTAGGTATTAGACTTCTTTTTGACGACTTTCAGATGGGTGTGTTAAGGGTTTTGAATGTTGCGCTAACACAACTTCATCCGAATGGGTAGGCGGCTATGAACCTTCAGAATTTTATGTAAATTTCATTATATAGAGGCTAGTGTATATTTGCTTTTTCATTTTTTCTGTATCCGTCCTTCAGATAAAGCAAGATGGGTATCTTTAATAAGGCAAGTCAAACTACCACTATTTAAACCTTATACTTCCTCTTTTAAAGGCTTCAAAACTGGGTACTTTAAAGTAACCGTCCACCCTGTAAGTAGAAATATTTTTTCAATAGTGAAAATAAAACTCTATTTCCTTTCTTGGACTCAAGTACCACGGCGATACGATGTGTATCCCAAAGAGATGTTGTCCTTGGAAGAACAAATAACTCTATAGTATTTGAAATCTCTTCCTTGGGAACTACCAGCCCAAGCCCTTATTCTTTTGCTGAAGTCCCCCAAGCCTTACTTGGATATGGATGGTATGCATTGTTACCTTAGTTTATAATTTGGATACAAAGTTATATTGATTTGGCTTTCTTGTTTTTATGGCAGGTATCATGGCACAAAGAGGATTTGGTCTAAGCTACCGAAAGGGTTTGAGGCAAAGAGGTCCGGAAGGCACTTCGGTTGACTAGCACTGGAACCCTGTCTTGGACCAAATTCCAAATTTGGCCGAAGCTTGCCCTCCTCCCCGGGATCTAATCCTTGCTGAAGGTCAACCTAAGAAAAGAAAAGACAAGGGCAAGGAGAAGGAGAAGGAGTCCGAGAGGGAGAAAAAGCAAAAAAACGCACGAGATGCGAGGTCAAGTGGTCTGGGTAGTTCATCGATTCGTGTTGTCGTCCCCCTGCTGTTTACTCCGAATCCTTTTTTGCCAAAGGGGTTCAAGCTAACAGATTCGTCTCTCCAAATTTGCTGTCGAAGTCGGGGAGGGCGATTGTAAATAAACAAAACAATAAGTCTCGGTGGCAATGGTATTGCGGGTTTCAAACTCGGGCCATGGTGATGGCGCGTAGCTTTGCTTTGGAACCTTTACAAGAGTTGGAAAGGGTCCAAAGCCAATTCTCTTCCTCCCAAAGGGCTTTAGCAGAGAGCGAGGAGGTCCGGTCAAACTTGGTTGAGACTAATAAGTTACTGGATGGTGAAGTTGCTCAAATAAAGGAGCATATCCATATCATAGAGAATCGGCTATGCACAGCCGAAGAGGCTCTGAGGGTGAAAACCTTGGAGTCGAATGAAGCCTTAGCTAGGGAAAAGCATAAATTGGATGCTGAGATGAAAGCTTTAACTGTCGAATGCAACGAGAAACTCATGGTTGAGCATGAGGTTAGCTTTAATCATGCCATGCGATAGGCATTTGAATTTTGCCAAGTCCCTGTCGACTTCCACTTCGATTTGTCAAGAGACTTCTTTGGTAGAAAGTTCTTATCATATGACGAAGTGGATGAAGAGGTGGAGCTCGACATCGAGGCACCAAGCCAAGCTCAATGTGTTGCAGCCGAAGATGTCCCTTCCCAAAATGATGCCGAGGGAGGGGAATTAATAGTTTTTTCTTTTTCTTTATGTAAATCAAAGGCCAATAGTGCCTATTTTGTAACTCTTTTGGCCTTTTTTGATAATACAAGTTTAATTTCCTCAATTTGGTTTTGTTGTTTACAATATTAATTTGCTTTAAATTTTCAAATTCGTGCTAATAACCAAAGTTTAAACCGAATGAGATGTGTACTTGAATAGTTTAACTTCAACTGAGATCGTAATCAATTTTTTTCAACCAAGAGGTGATATACAAGAGGGAGTTTAATTCATTTTTAACCGAATGGAATGCTTGATAGACGAATAATGGATTCTTCTTTAAATATACTGGATTCATCTTTGAGTATGGTACTCGAAGAAGGAATTAACGTAAATGATTCAACTTTAGCTGAGTGGGGTACTCAAGAGAAAATTATTTTTAAATATCTCATCCTTAACCAAATGAAGTACTCGGGAGGGAATAAATATAAATGATTCAACCTTAACCGAGTGGGGTACTCGGGAGGGAATTATTTTTTAAATATCTCATCCTTAACCCAATGGAGTACTCGGGAGGAAATAAATGTAAATGATTCAACTTTAACCGAGTGGAGTACTCGGGAGGGAATTATTTTTAAATATTTCATCCTTAACCGAATAGAGTACTCGGGAGGGAGTAAATGTAAATGATTCAACCTTGACCGAGTGGGGTGCTTGTGAGGAATTTTAATGATATCTGAATTCTCTGTAAATGATTCATTTTTTATATTATTAATTAAATACATTTAATTTCATAAAAAAAACTACACACTCATTTACTAAGTTCTATTATTTTAGTTTTTTAATAATTTTTTTTAAAATTTGAATAATATTATTATATATTTTAATTTATAAATTTTTATTTATAATAATCTCTTTTATGTAAAATAAGAAGTTAAAAAATTTATTATAAAAATTTATATCATGCAAACAAACGAATGCACATATGTGGATATATATATATATATATATATATATATATATATATATATATCATAGGAAAGAAATATTTACAGTAATATAAATATTTATTTGATAAGATTAGTATAATATATATAATATGCATATTTTAACAAAGTTGATGACAAAAATTATTAATTTTTTTGTTATAATCAAAGTGTTAGTTATTATTTTCTATTTTATTGAATTAAACTAATAAAAAATGATAAATATATTAAATTAAATATAAATTATAACTTACAATATGTAAGATTAAATTAAATTAAATTAAATTTTAAATATAAGAACGAAAATATAACTAAGTCACAGAAAAATATAATGAATGAAAGGCTAATATATTAAAATAATTTAGATCAATTTTTTAATATTACCAATTAAATAAACTTAAATTTATAGAATTTTTTTTTCGTTAAGCAAAATATATATCATTAGATAGAGTTTAAGGGGAACTCAAAACCTATATACATAGAGGAAAAAAACTAATACTTATTCAGAAAAATAAAATTAGAAACATACTTATTTAAAGTTAAGACAGAGACAATTTCGTGGGTTCAAATATCAATCTGCTAATAAAATAGCTTCTCCCTTACTAACAAGTGATAGTCATTTCCAAGATTTCAGAATAATAGAATCTATAACTTCCTTCTCATCTAAAACACCATTGAAAAATACTATTATATTTTTATGTAATCACAAAGACCATACTGTACTTACCCAAACAATTAGTAAACACATCCCTTCTCTTTTACTGCAACCAACACCAACCCAAGAAAGCAAGTGAGTCGATAAATGTAAAGGCGAAACAAGTGAGAATCCAAGTCAACGCACTGTAAAATACCAGATTTGAGATGAAACTGAGCACGTTAAAAATAAATGAGTTGGAAGTTCTCCCAAATCATGACAGAAGCAACAAGTTATATCATCAATTTGAACACCACGATCAATTAACAAACTTTTACAAGAAAGTACATTCAACAACAATTGCTAAGAAAATGATCTGCAAAATAAGACACCACACCTGCTTTAATCTCATCAACCTCTTCAACACATCTCTACCCTATTTGAAGCGCATGTATTTTATTTCGTCACCTCCTCCCGTCAACACATAAATGAAAGAACTTTGTATTTAAATCATCCTCCTTCCCACATCGCACTCGAGCTTTTTGAGCTATGAGACTCTCTTTATTCTTCCTAATCTTCCAAATATCACCAACCAATATTTGTTGACGCTCTTTCTCCACATCGGAAAGTTCCTTTACAAAATTTTTATCATCAATTAAACTCAACTCTGTTGTCAAATCAGAAATCACCTTATCAACATTTCCAAACACCTCAACATTCCAATTTTTTAATGCAATCTTAACATTCCTCAACCTCTGGCTCGCTCTCTGGGCAGCCCATGAAAGAATAATACCTCTTTGCCACGCTTCCTCCACCACCTCCATAACTCTTTTATGAGTCAGCCAACAATTGTTAAATCGAAATGGATTCGAACCCCAGTTAACCACTTTGTGCTTTAGAATAATGGGACAATGATTAGACACATCTCTGCTCAGAACCTGAATAAAACCATCTCCCCAATAATCAATCCAGGAACCAGAAACAAGGACTCTTTCAGCCTGCTTATCATAGAAGCATCTCCCTTATCCATATAAATTTTTTACCCACAAGTGAAAGATTCACAAGCTCTATTTCCTGAATGAAAGAATTGAAGTCGTCCATTTTAGAGATACCATAGTCTCCCTGACAACCCTTCTTCTCATTCACCTGTCGCACAGCATTAAAGTTACCCAATATACACAACATAAATTTGCTAAAACCCTTTCTTGTCATGAGCAAATCATCCCATAACTTTCTCTTCTCACTTAGTCTACATGATGCATAGACATTCAACACAACACATAGGTTTCCAACAGCCAATACTTGCAAGCAAACACCTAGGAATCCAGTACCAGAAAAGGATAAAAGTATTTTACCTTCGGATGTATCCCAAAGTGAAAATATACCCCCGCTTCTGCCAATAGAGGGTAAGGCAATCCAATCAAAATCCATAGAACCCCACAAATGTGCACATAAGTTGCGATTACATGTCTCAAGTTTTGTTTCTTGAATTGCCAAAAACTCCAAACCTTCAGAGCGAACAATTTCACACACCTTCTTTTGCTTCACCTCGCTCCCCAATCCTCGAGAATTAAATGAGCCAATCTTTATTTAGAATCAAAGCGAACCCCATGTGTATTCGCAATTGTTCTGTCGTGTACCTCCATCTCAATTAATTTCTCTCGAACCTGCTCATCGTTCCCATGTACAACTATACCAACCTTCTTGCCAATGTCTATTAACCTCGACGCCACTACCTCATCATCACAAACTGCAGTAGCCAATTGCTCCCCCACCTCCATTATGGGATCGGAAGGATGCGATTTATAGGAACTCTCGAAAGTATTAGCTAAAATTTCATCAGCTACCTGGGGGTCTATGAAAACCGCGCTCTTATGTCTGTTTCCTCCTTCATCACCTCGACTACCTTTCACAGAACGTGCCCTCCGAAGGGATTCTCGCATATTCACTCTCTCTTTTTCAATCCAAGTTTTAGATTGAAAGTGGCCTACTTGTGCTGTCCCAATTGTTTCCTTACTCTTTGATTCTAGATTCTTCCAAATCAATGCGTCTAATCCAAATGGGTCTGATAGATTCAACCCATTTCTACCCACCTTTTACAACGGACAAGGCCATGCTATTAGGCCTCCCCTCTCCATATTTTCTGAAGGCTCATTCACAGCATCACAAATAATCACTGCTGGACCCGTATCATCTGCACCACTAGCCCCCAAACCCTCATCCACCAAACACCCTCTTATTGATACTGACACTTCACTTCTAATCACAGAATCAACCAAACAATCCTTACCTTCAATATCACCGTGCAACACACTCTCCTCACTCGAATAGTTATCCAAGGCTTCCAACTCCATTGAACCAACCTCAGTAAGTCATTGTCGTCCTCAGAAGAGTTAGCCACGCCTTCCTCTAAACATCACAGGCATGCTTTTCAAGCATGACTATTGAGTAAAAATGATCATTGACTTTCACTGTAATGTTTTGCTTGATAAGCTCAGTAATGGTAGTACCTAATTGTATCCTCCCATAATCCAATCGTCGCCTTTCTGCCGTGACTTTGCCTATCTGAATAAAATCACCAAGCAAAAAAAACTAACTTACAAAAGAATAATTCACCCCAAGCATGCAAAGGGACCCCATAACAACGTACCTGAGTCATCCTCCGCACAGCTACCGTACTTGGGTGTCACTCTTGTAGATCATAGAACCATTTCTCCCACCACAATTTGTTGAGCGATACTGTATCCTCTAAATTTACCATCGCATCAAATTCCACCAACACCATGTCATCACCCATGGCCGTGAGATTAATATCTAACATACCTTCCCGCAGGAGAACCCCTCGCATACTTTTCAAATTATGTTTTCTATGAAGCCGTCCAACCATAGCCCCTCTACATTCCTCAATCCGCCCTTCATCTAGACGAAGTGCTTTAAGCTTGTCCGCATACCTGATGTCTTTGTAGCCCTAATGACAAAGGAGTGTCTCGTTTCATCGCCCTCCGCAGACACCATCGAACCCACAATTTTCTCCCTTACATGCCTCGTTAAGTTGATAGACAAGCGCATCCTTCCAGACTCTTGGCATCCGCCACATCCACAAAGCACACAAAACCAAAGCGACGTCCTAATTTGTCATGCTTTTGTGGTATGAAAATATCAACCACCTTCCCCACCGTTGAAACACCCGCCACAAGGCTGAAACACCAGTAACAAGTGGAAAATTTGTAGAAAGTAAGACGTGAAATTATTGAGAACTTTTCCAAGATACCCACCAAATTTACCCCCTCCTCTAGACTTCCGTTCCACCATTGAATTCTTCAGCTTTCCTCCCGAAATTAATGTTGTTGTCTTTAATCAAATCTGTGTTGCAGATCGTTGAATTTCAATCCCGTATGCCGATCAATTACGAGACACCAAATCGATGATGTTTCACCTCATGCCTCTGCCACTACCGTTGTGCGTGAGAAACCAATGAGATCGAGAGTGTCAATAGATGATGATTGGGCAAAGGAGATGGGTTCAAAAAGCAGCGCACTGGGTTTACCTTATGAAGCGTTAAATAACCCACATATGTTAGTACCTATAATCCTTCTACCTTAACAGATAGACGAAGTTGAAAACGACGAATTCCCTTGACAAAAAGAAATTTCGATCATGAATTAACAACCCCTCATTTTATTAATTTCTTTTATTTTACCTTTTTCAATGGTAATTTTTTTATTTTGAATAATATTATTATATATTTTAATTTTTCAAATTTATTTATAATAATCTATTTTATATAAATAAAAATTTAAAAAATTTATTATAAAAATATATATATTACTCAAATAAATAAATGCACATATGAGGATATATATAAGTATATATATTACAGGAAAAAATATTTAAAAATATAAATATTTTTTTAATAAAATTAGCATAATATATATTTTAATAAAGTTGATAATAAAAATTGTTAATTTTTTTGTTATAATTAAAGTGTTATTTATTGTCTTCTATTTTATTGAATTAAACTAATAAAAAATGATAAATATATTAAATTTTAATATAAATTATAACTTACAATGTGTAAGATTTTATTTTATTTTAAATACAAGAACAAAAATCTAATTAAATCACATAGAAAGTATGATTAATGACATATTAATATATTATAATAATTTAGATCATTTTTTGATAATATAAATAAATAAACTTAATTTTATGAAAAAATTTACACACTCATTTTTTAAAGTTATGTTATTTTACTTTTTAAGTTGACAGATTTTTTAAAAAGTAAAAAAATTTATATCACTGAACAAATAAATTCATTTATATATATATATATAAATTATTTACATTAATAGAAATATTTATTTAATAAAATTATAATAGTATATATTTTTTAATAAAATTGATGAAAAAAATTATTAATTTTGTTATTATAATCAAAGTGTTATTTATTATCTTCTATTTTATTGAATTAAATCAAAAAAATAATAAATATATTAAATTTAAATATAAATTATAACTTACAATGTGTAAGATTTTATTTTATTTTAAATACAAGAACAAAAATCTAATTAAATCACATAGAAAGTATGATTAATGACATATTAATATATTATAATAATTTAGATCATTTTTTGATAATATAAATAAATAAACTTAATTTTATGAAAAAATTTACACACTCATTTTTTAAAGTTATGTTATTTTACTTTTTAAGTTGACAGATTTTTTAAAAAGTAAAAAAATTTATATCACTGAACAAATAAATTCATTTATATATATATATATATAAATTATTTACATTAATAGAAATATTTATTTAATAAAAGTATAATAGTATATATTTTTTAATAAAATTGATGACAAAAATTATTAATTTTGTTATTATAATCAAAGTGTTATTTATTATCTTCTATTTTATTGAATTAAATCAAAAAAATAATAAATATATTAAATTTAAATATAAATTATAACTTACAATGTGTAAGATTTTATTTTATTTTAAATACAAAAACAAAAATCTAACTAAATAACATAAAAAATATGATTAACGACACATTAATATATTAAAATAGTTTATATTATTTTTTAATATTACGAAGACTTAATTTTATGAAAAAATTTACACACTCATTTTTTAAGTTTTATTATTTTACTTTTTCAGTTTGATAGATTTTTTAAAAATTAAAAAAAATTATTATAAAATTTTATATCATTGAACAAACAAATATATATATATATATATATATATATATATATATATATCACAGGAAAGAAATATTTATATTAATATAAATATCTATTAAATAAAATTAGCATAATATATATATTTTTTAATAAAATTGATGAAATTTTTTTTTAATTTTTTATTATAATTAAAGTTTTATTTATTATTTTTTATTTTTTTAAATTAAACCTAAAAATGATAAATAGATTAAATTGAAATATAAATTATAACTTATAATGTGTAAGATTTTATTTTATTTTAAATACAAGAACGAAAATCTAACTAAATTACGTAAAAAATATAATTAACGATAGGTTAATATATTAAAATAATTTAGATTAATTTTTTAATATTACTAATTAAATAAACTTAATTTTATGAAAAAAATTGATACACTTATTTTTTTAAGTTTTATTATTTTACTTTTTTAATGGAAAAATTTTTTAGGAAGTGAAAAAATGTATTATAAAAATTTGTATCATTAAACAAACAAATGCATATACGAAGATATATATATATATATATATTACTAGAAGGAAATATTTACATTAATATAAATATTTATTTGATAAAATTCATATAATATGTATATTTAATAATGTTGATGATAAAAATTGAATAGTTTATGTGATAAATATATATAAATTTAATTATTGAATAGTTTAAATTTATTATATAATTTTTAATAATTAAAAATTAAAAATTTAATATTATAAATTATTTCATGTATTACATGAAGCTAAACACTTTTATATATATATATATATATATATATATATATATATATATATATATATCCTTCTTTTATTTTAAACTCTACCGTATTTTTTTTTATCATGATAAAAAAAAAAAATTGTTGTCAATTTTTTTTTATAAGTTAATAACATAGTATATTGAGATTTTTGCTTGTATATTTTTAAAATAAAGGAACTAATTTTTTTTACATAATACACAAGAAAAACAACTTGTTATAATAGATTATAAAAATTTTAAAATTACTTTTGTGTCATTTGAATAATTTAATGAAAATATAATGTAAAATAAATATATAAATTTTTAAAATTATTGTAATTTAACACATTAATATATAATTTTTTAAAATTACAATAGTTTTAGAATTAATGCATTGTAGAGATTTCATTGAGATTATATTATCATCCAAAAAATTAAGAATATATAAAATTTAAATCATTATCAACCACAGAACTTAATTCTAATATCCTTGAAATCAGAGAAAAAAAATTAATTATAGCTAAGTCAATTTTCTTTTAGTGCTTAACATATATAATACTAAGCATGATTAAATTTTTAATACTTTAATAAGAAAAATAGGAATATAAGGAAGGAAAAAATAACAAATGATATAAAACATTTTAATACAAAAGACCTTGCGATTTTATTTAGAGTTTTTAAAAATATTTTATATTCTTTATAATATTTATATTTTATTAATTTATAAAAATATTTTTAATTAATAAATTGTAAATAACTACGATAGATACAATTGATATAAATTTAGATATCTATCATGTGCATTAAAAAAATACATAAAAAAGTTAAAAATAATAAGCAATAATTATTTAAATATTATTATTATTATTTTCCTTTTTGTGTTTAATTTATTCTAATCTAAAAAAAATTGACAAAATCTTATACATACACACACACATATATATATATATATATATATATATATATATATTCGTGATTCTTTTCTTCTCACCGACATTTTCAAAGTTAATAAAATAAACTACAAAAAATATTAATTTTTTAATAAAAAATTTATGTACTATTTTTTATGCCATTAAATAAAGTTAACATAATATAATTATTGGTTTGTTTTGTTATTTTTAATATGATTATAGTTTTAGATACTATTTTTAGTAAAAAAAATATAATATGAAGTATTTTTTTTATTATCAATTTCTTTTGTACAAGTTAATAACACATGATGTATGATTTTTGCATGAATATTTTTTTTAAAGAACTAATTTTTTTCACATTATACACAAAAAATGACTTATTATAATATAGATAATAAATATTTTAAAAAATACTTTTGAGTCATTTAAATAATCTAATGAAACTATAATATAAATTTAATATTTTAAGTGCATAAGTATTATAAATATCTATGTTATAATATTTTTTTATTACATAAATATAAATTTATGTGAAATTTATTTTTACAAGACACTTGTAGACACAAATCATATTCAAATATAAATCATTGTAATTTTTCATATTAATATATAAATTTAAAATAAAAATAATTTTAGAATTTAATTATTATAGAATCTTCAAAGAGATTATATCATAAAAAAATTAGATAACCTATACATAAATCAAAGTTATTAAGTATAGAATATAAGATAAGTGGTCATTATTTAAAATATCAATTTAATCTAAGAAAAACAAGAAACCTACGCACAGTACAGTACGTATTCTTTCATCAATCACTCCAAAACCAAACCCCAAAACATCTCCTCGAAACCCTAAGGAGGGGGAGACAATCACACTTTGATATTCCGAATGTCATTGTCAAGGTTAAGCTCTTCTCTCCGTCTTCCCAAGTTTCCTCCTTTTCTTCTCTGCTTTCCTTCTTCCTCACTCCAAACCCGATTCATTCACAATGTGGATGTTGATGAAGCTGTTGCCTCGTTCAATAGCATGCTCAATACGCCTCCTTCCCCATCCATCAGGCAATTTAACAAGATTCTGGGGTCTCTTGTCAAGACTAAGCAATTCCACACTGCCATTTCCCTTTTTCAACGATTGGGATTCAATGGAATAGAGCCAGACATTTTCACTTTTAACATTCACATCAATTGTTTATGCCAACTGCGTCATATGACCTTAGCTTTTTCGGTATTGGCCAAGATCTTTAGATTGGGTCATCAGCCGGATACCATAACCTTCACTACACTCATGAATGGTATGTGTCTCAATGGCAACATTAGAAGAGCACTGCATTTTCACGACAAGATGGTAGCTCGAGGATTTCAAATGAATCAAGTTAGTTACGGGACGCTGATCAATGGATTATGTAAAATGGGAGAAACAAAAGCTGCCATTCAGTTGCTTAGAATGATTGAAGCGAGATCGATTCAGCCTAATGTGGTAATTTATAGTACAATCATTGATAGCTTATGTAAAGATGAACTTTTGACCGAGGCATGTGATTTTTTTTCAGAAATGGTTGTCAAGAAAATTTATCCCAACTTTGTCACTTATAATAGTCTAATGCACGGCTTTTGTCTTTTGGGTCAAGTAAAGAAAGCAGTTGGTTTGTTCAATGAAATGTTATTGAAAAGAATCAACCCAGATGTTTATAACTGCAACATATTGGTTGATGCACTGTGCAAGAAAGGAAAGGTGAGAGAAGCTAAGAATGTGTTAGCTGTGATGATAAAAGATGGTGTGAAACCTGATGTTGTTATGAATAATACTTTGATGAATGGCTATTGCTTAGTTAATGAAGTAAAGAATGCCAAATGTGTATTTAACAACATGATCCGAACTGGAGTAACCCCTAGTCTACTTAGCTATAACATACTGATTAATGGATTATGCAAGATTAAAATGGTGGACGAAGCCATGCTTCTCTTTGAAGACATGCATTGCAACTGTATGGTTCCAGATACAGTAACTTACACTTCTCTTATTGATGGTCTGTGCAAATCAGGGAGATTTTCTTATGTTTGGGAGCTTATCGATGAGATGAATGACAGGGGTCAACGTGCTGATATAATTACCTACAATTCGGTAATAGACGCATTATTCAAAAACCATCATCTGGATCATGCAATAGCATTGTTCAATAAAGTCATAGACAAAGGCATTCGTCCAAATGCATATACATACACAATACTTGTTAATGGACTATGCAAAGGCGGAAGACTTAAAGATGCACAGGAGGTTTTTCAGAATTTACTGAACATTGGCTATCCTCTGGATGCCCCGGCATATAATGCTATGATCAATGGGCTTTGCAAAGAGGGCATGGTTGATGAAGCATTGTCCTTGCAGTCAAAAATGGAAGACAATGGTTGCAGTCCCAATGCTGTAACTTTTGAAATAATTATCTGTGCTCTTTTTGAAAGTGATGAGAATGATACAGCCGAGAAGCTTCTTTATGAAATGGTTGCTAGAGGCTTATTGTGAGATTAAAACTAATGCTTTCCACCTATACTTATTATGGAACATTTCCTCAAGAATCTTAACTGGCATGTGGCTCAAAACCGTGAGAAATCCAGATGTCAAACTTGTGAAGGAATAAGCATATCCAGTTTCCTTTTTGATTATTCAGTAGTGCTGTTACTTATTCTTTAAATGTAAAGACAGCATACAATTTGTAAATTTTATTAGTCTTGTTGCTAGCCTGCCCAAGTCATAAATGACAGTTTTGAGGAGTATATGACAGTTCTAGATTTGCCATTCTTGTTTCTCCTGATTTGATACTTGCATTTGTTACAGAACATGAACTTATAATCGATGGATGTCACACTTTTTGTTGCATTCTAAAATAATATAATGGAGCATCGTTTGGCCTTCTGCATGTGTTTCTTTCAAGCTTTTTATTGATTTTATCTATTTTTTGCTCTTTTCTGAAATTTTATTTTATGATTTAACTTATTTTATCAATTTGTAAAATCGTCACTTTTTATAATAAAATCAAGAGAAACACAAGTTTCAGATATAACAATTTCTAATAACAAAATGGTTAAAAGTCTATCAATAAAGTGACAAAATAATTATTTATCAATAATTTACTATTCTAATTCAAAACTTTTCAAATGGTAAAAATATGATATGTATATAAGTGATATTATTTTATTCTATTTTTAAATTATTAATAAATATATTTTCTTGTTTAAGCCAACTATTATGGGTGATAGATAGAAAAATAAATAAGTAAAAATGAGATGAGAAGTTAGTGAGTAAAACAAGAATGTCTAAGGACAATATCAAATTTAAAAGAATAAAAGGAAAAAAAAGTGAGAGCGGTATCACTCATGTTTTCTTTTCTTTTATTGCTTACTGCGTAATTGAGATTCGATTCTATCTTATTAACGCGTGAATCAAATATCTAATTTGATTTTTATTTATACAAATTTTTAGTTTAAAACTTAAGGGAGTTTAAATATGTAATTCAAATTTTTTTAATAAAATTAAACCTTTTTTATTTCTTTTTTAATAAATGCTAAGATAGTTATATATGGAGGATAGTTGGCTGCTTACCACTCCCTCTTCGTCTCCAAATGATTTCTCTCTCCATCCCCAAATGTGGTTTTATCATACATGTCGTTGGTAGTTACAAGTTTTGTTTAATGACATTCATAACCATCTCGTACGGAGTAAAAAGTTCTGTCTTTAGCGATTTGAAATCTGACGAGTCTCATTTGTAGAACACAAACTCATTTCTTATTTAATAGAACATCCATATTTGTTCTAATCAACCATATTTTTGGAGCAGGAGTGCCTACATTGAAATGGGTGTACCTCATCCAATAATTAGTGTTGGTGATTTCTATGTTTGTGCCATTTGATATGAATCACATTTATATAGCTTCTTTGCCTAGAATGTTTGATAGGAGATAGAAAGAGAAATCATTTGGGAAAGGAGTTAGAATAGCAACGCATGTTTTATGAATAAGGTTGAGTTGCAGACTTAAATTCGTTTAAACAAATGTTTTAAGCAAAAAAATAGTATGAACATATTTTTAAATCCTTAATAGTATTAAAACAATTTAATAAAAAAATTAAAATGACACTTCAAATCTTAAAAACTTAAGTAACAATTTACTAAATTAGGACATATCATAGCTAAGTCGTATATGGCACAATAATGTTGAAAAAAACTCAAAATCTCAAACGTGATAACACAAAAAACAATAGCTACTGATTCAAAAATTTTAACATGTTCTGCAAACAGTATTTTTTAACTTCATATTTCGAGAAGTCCAATCAACAACTTAACTTTACGCGATTAGGTTTTCTAGTGTATTAAAGTGATTAAAATTATAAAATAAAGGGCATTTATATTATTAATACATTTGTATATTAGCTAAATAATCAGTTAAATTGAAATTAGTCTATGTGACACCTCTTATAATCCCCATGCGTAAAAAAGATACTCTGCCGTCTCAAAGTCTTATTCTAAAATCGATATTAGAAAAGGTATAGAAGAATTGTTATAAGAATGGGAGGTTATAATTTATCTGGATTCTCATCAATGGCTCATAAGCAAAAGCATTATCGAACAATTAAGCAAAGCAAAACTAGTTTGGGATTTGATTTATGAGACTGAACAAGTTTGAACAGAAAGATTAAGTAAACTTGACATGCAAACCACAGTACCAAACGCTAATTAAGGTCCAGCAAATGGACTAACACAACGAGTAGAGACTATTGATGAACCTAAGGCAACTTGATGATGAACCCGAAGAACTTGTCTTTACTCATAGATCCAAGAGTGTTGGCTGCTTCGCCAGGTAACAGGGCCCTCAGGGAACCACAATGCAATTTCCTTGTTGGCACTTTCTACAGAATCACTTCCATGGATAACATTCCTACAAAAAGAGCACCTTCTTTACATGCCATACCAAAAGCTTTACCACCAAGTTCATTACAAAAGTTCAAAGTTCCCTTCATAATTTAAAATTTTCCACACATTGGAAAGTAAAGATATCTTCAACAATTTTGATTTTGATCAATATAATAATGATACTTAACAAGGATTTATAGAATCATCATCTTTGATTTTGATTTTCTCACTAGTGATATCATCTCCTTTAATTGAAGATATTGTGAACATGTTGCAATATTAACGAGATATGAATGAAAATAAAGATTGAGGGCACTCTAGTCTCTAAAATACAGGGGGTTCGTGGGAAAAAATACAAATACACATGTTGAGAACCATATAACAATAATAATCCTAAGATTCCCATATTTCAGATGGAAATAAGAATGGAACATGTTCATATTTATCAATCTAAAAAAAATTATTTCAAAACAAAACTTGCTTGAAAAAAGAGATTGTGGTAATGGAAACAAGCTTGTACCTTCCAATGTCAATAGCAAAATCACCACGAATAGTTCCAGGCTCAGATTGAGCTGGGTTTGTGGCTCCAATAATCTTTCGGCCAGTGGTGACAACATTCTTACCCTCCCAAACCATGGCAACAACAGGGCCAGAGATTATGTATTCCACCAATCCATTAAAGAAAGGCTTTGCAGACAAGTCAGCATAGTGCTTCTCCGCAAAAGGACGATCCACAGTAATCAGTTTCAGACCTGAAAACAAACATTTAGAACAATTTCAAAATTAATTGGCTAAAAGATACCACTCTCAAACCACGAAATCTACTAGTCTTTAAAGAAATGATTAGGTATTACCTTTCAAGTAGAAACCCTTCTTCTCAAATCTGCTAATAATCTCACCAATCTGAAACATAAACATTGTTTTCCATCAAATATTACTAAACCTTCAGAATATCATAACACATACAAAATCCTTCAAATTCAAAACATCTACACAAACAGCCATAGCCAAAATCAAATTCCATACTCAGAAACACTCACACATAAAACAGTCATCGACCCATTTCCCGAATAGCCATAATTAGCAACCCCACCTCTTCAAAACACAAAATTTCCTCAAAACCAGTTCAGATTAAACAAAAAAAAAAATCATTAAACCCATAAAACCACCCATATATATATATATATATATATATATATATATATATATATATATAAAGCTCGAAAATTTCCACAAAAAAACGCCAGATACTGATAATTATCACGAAATTTAGCAAAAACCCCAGTTATGCACAAACAAAGCACTATTTAACGAATAATAGAGGGAAAAAAAGGGTTTTGAAAAAGAAGTAAACACACGAGGCCTCTTTGAACACCATCAGGCTTGATCATGATGAAGGTTTGTTCGGCCATGTTGCTCTCTCTCTTGATGTTCGACTTCAGTGAATGTGTGAGCGAGAGAGCGTATGGTATACAGTACAAGTGTGAGAGAAAAGGGGGATTTATATACGTCTGAAGATGACGTTCAAACCCTAACCCTAATTTCATAAACGAATATTCTGCCGATTACGGTGGGAACCATTTATTATCTATGCCAATTTTTTACTTTTTAAATTAATAAATTAAAATTTATTAAAAGATATTATAGTTAATATAATTAATATATTAAATTTTATAATTTTTAATAAAAAATATTGTAATAGTATTTCTATTATATTTTTTATGCACTTATTTAAAAAAAAAAATTAACCGGTAACGTATTTTTTAAAATTTTTAATGCCTACATATTCTATTCTCATTATCTCTTTTTAATTGAAAGATATAATTGGTAAGCATCAAAATTTAGAATATGTGAAAAATTATTTTGAAAATTTGAGTGATTTTTTAAAAATTTTCAGAAATCTATTTTGATAAAAAAAATTAAAAGATTTATATAAAAAAGAAATCACACTCAGCCTTTATTTGTAAATTAATAAGTAAAATTTATTTGAAGTATAATTAAACTTATTTTATTTTCTATTTAATATAAATAAAATTACATTTCAAAGTAAAAAAGAAGAAGTAATCTTATTTAAATTTTAATTTATATAATGTATTTTAAAAAATTTCTTTAACTAAATAAACCCTGTTATAAGTTTACTTTTATGTTAAAATAACTTACGATTAAAATCTTAAGATAATATAACAAAAAAAATATTTTCAAATAAATTTAAGAAAATAGAATTGTTAAAACAATATTTTTATGTAAACTGTGTACATTAAATTTTATAAAAACTAAATGACAATCAAAATTAAATTAGTTTTCATTTTTATATTTTAAAAGTAAATAAATAATAAAAACCAAGTTTTTTATTAAATAATTATTTTAAAAGTATATAATCTATTAGTTTATGTGTATATATATCAATAAAATGTAAAATAATTTTAAATTAATATTAAATTTTGCAAACATGTATATAGAAAAACATTGACGACTTGATTTATATGTATAACTAAAGCAAACTCTAAAATAATATTTGTTAATAAATAAAATAAAAAATTATTAAAATTATATAATTTTATTTGAATTAAACTCTTTGAATATTTTATGATTAAAAATTTCTTATATAATTAATTTAATTTTACATTAACTTTTAATTTAGATTTTTGGAATTTTTAAAAACTACCATTATTATATTTAAGAAATGTAGTAAGCAATTAATGTTTATGATAAATGGTATCTTGGATTTAATCTCGAGATTCATGTGTGTGAAAATAATTATTAAAAAACCCTACTTTAATATTTACGAAATATTACGAAAATAGCTAATAATTTTCATATTTTTTTATTTTGTAACAAATTTATTAATATAACTTATTAAAATAAATTCTTTACAATTTATTGTAAGATGTTCTAAGATAAAATTTATAAGATAAATTCTTCTATAAAAGAGTTTATTAAATAATTAATTAACGAAGTATACTTTTTAAAAAAATTTAATATTTTTAACTATTAGATTATATATATTTATTTTAAAATAAAATACCTATTCACGGCTACTAACTAATTATTTATTATTTCTCATAAAAAATACCAATATTCCTTAAATATAGAATTGTGGTTACAAATTAAAGAATTATAAAGACAGATAACCCACTAATTTTGCAAAAAAATAAATTATTTTCAGTTAAAAGTTTTATTAATTCTTACAACTTTCGGTGATCCAACTGCCCAAACGATTCTTCGATGCATTAAAACTACTCCAATTGGCGTTCCAACGAATCTTCTTAAATTGTTTTTAAAACATTACCATTATTGTCTAACACAAGAGTGTCTTAGTGAGAAAGATGCATTAATTATTATATATAAAATTGGTGGTCTTTTAATAATAATTATTATTATTAACGTAAAAAAAACTATCTATTATAAATTAATTAAAAATTATTTTAAACCACTAACCACTTGAAAGAGGTTATTATAACTTAATCTGTAATTTTGAATTCAATTTTTAATAAACATAAATACTCATAATTTATTTTAAAATTTAGAAATTATTTTAAATATTATTTTTAATTTAATTGTTATAAATTTAATCAATTTTAATTATATAATAACTTATAATTAAATGATAATATAAAGAACACTTACATTATCGATGTATTTTAGTTAAATTTTAAAATATTTGTATTTTTATCTCGTTATGCATTGTAACTTATAAGTCTACAAACAGGGAAATAGAAGATTTATCTTTCTCTATATATAAACAAATTATTACAATCAATATAAGATTATAATTTTTTGTATGTTTCAAATCATATTTTAAATAAAATTGTATATTTTGAAATAGTATAACTAACTTTATGAAATTTTGAATTACTTTCAGTTAGATTTTTTACCTAATTTTTGCTAACATTTTATTAAAATCAATAATCGATTAAAAATTTTAATTAGTTCAAAAAATTCATGAACAATTTAACTTTTCAAATATATACTTACAAACTTTTTGGACATAAAAAATCACTAAAATAAAAAAAAAATATTTAAGATATGTAGAAGGATAGTGTGATACTTGAAAGTTTTGTAATAATTTAGTATTAATAGAGTTTATTATCTTTTTGAAATTTTATTTGTGTTATTATTTCATTACTCCAACAAGTAGTACTAGAGTTACGATTGGGGTTCAAGAAAATGAAATATTGAAATATCAACAAAAATCATACTATCCAAGCGGAAACCGACCATGTCAATTACCACATAAGCAAGAGGCCAACAAAACTTATCGCCACGTGTTATCCTATCACCTTATTAGCATATTTTAAATATTATTATTATTATTATTATTACTACTACTATTATTATTATTATATTTGTCTCAAATTTTGTTAAATTTAGCTTTAGTAATTTTTTTCTTGCAATAAAGAATAGGCAATTTGTTTAGTGTCATGATTAAACTCATTGCTAACTACAAAAGATTACTATAATTCTATAAGAACCTCAATCCTAATAAAGATGTAGAACAGAAGAAGATAAATAGAAAAACAATTAACTTGATTTGACAATGGATCAATTATAGTATCTTTCATCAAGTGTCTTAAGAAACCAATGCTTACATCCTTTGGAAGAAGTTAGAGGATATGTATCAATCTAAGCCAACACGAAACACAGCCTTTCTTATAAGAAAGTTGGTAAATATGAAATTGTGAAGTGGAACTTCCATAGCAAAACACACTAGTAAATTTCATAATCTAGTAAACCAAATGTCTACAGTGGAGCTAAATCTTGATGATGAAGTACAACCTCTCTTACTTTTTAATTCTCTTTCTAATAATTGGCAAACTCTAGTTTTTACCCTCAGCAATTCAACTTCTGGTGAAAAACTCATTATGGCTGCGATGAATAATGCTTTGTTCAATAAGGAAGCTAGATGGAAGGACAATGGCATAAACAACAAGAAAGCTTTTGTTACAGAAGATAAGGGAGAAATCAAAGTAGATAACAAGGTAGGAGCAAAAGTAGGAGTAAGTCAACAGATAGAATGGCAGAAACTAAGGTACTACCATTGTGGGATGAAAGATCATTTCAGTAGAGATTGTAGAAGGTTACAAAGGGAGCAAGACCCAAAGAGCTCCTAAGTAAAGAAGGATGGAGAAACACAAGTAACAATCGTTGAAGAGATGGGTTGTATACGTCATTTAAGAAAAGTTATACATTGCAGAATCAAGTGGAGAAATTGAGTAGACAATTGATATTGTAACTTCTTGTCATGCTACTCCTCAAATTCATATGAGGCTGGTGATTTTGGCACTGTGAAGATGAAAAACACTAGTGTTGCTTAGATTGTGGATATTGGTAACTTTCAAATAGTAACACGTTGGCTGCAAAGTTACTTTAAAAGATGTTCAACATGTGCCAGATCTTCGATTGAATCAATTTTTAATACAAAATCTTGATCAACAAGGCTTCAAAAATCGCTTCCACGATAACACATGGAAAATGTTGAAAGGAGTTATAATTTTTGTTGACAGACAACTTTGTGATAACTTATACAAAACTCAAGTAAAGATCAACTTAGAAAGCATAAATATAGTGGAGCAAGAGTCTCTAGATCTGTGGCACCAAAGACTTAGTTATATAAGTAAGAAAGGTTTGTCAACCTTGATGAAGAAAAAGTTGATTACTATTAAGGATACAATGAGTCATCCATGTAATCATTGTTTGTACGGTAAACAATGAAAAATTTGTTTTAACTTCTCATAAGTACGAATATTAGAGTTACTAAGTCTAGTTTACTCTAAACTATGTGGTCTTTTGGAGGTAGAATTATTAGGTCGTAACAAATATTTTCTAACATTTATTGATAATGCTTCTAGAAAGGTCTCAATGTATTTTTTTAAGAACCAAGAATTAGGTACTAGAAATTTTCAAGCAGTTTCATGTCATGGTAGAATGTGAGATAGGAAACAAGTTAAAGTGTTTTTGTGTAGAGAATGGAGGAAAGTATACATCTAGGGAGCAATGTTTATTGTAAGAAATATGACATTCGGCATGAGAAGACATTACCACGTATACCTCAACACAATGATGTAGCGAAAAGGTTGAATCGAATCATTATAAAGAGATCAAGAAACATGCTTAGTATGGTGAAGTTGGTCAAGACATTTTGAGGATAAGTTGTTTGCATTGCCTCTTACTTATTAATTAGATCACCCTCTACACCTTTGAATTTTGAGATTCTAAAGAAGGTATGGTTTGACAAAGACCCATTATACTCACATTTGAAAGTGTTTTAGTGTTTGACATTTGTATATGTATTCAAAGAACAAAGACAAAAGCTTGATGCAAGAACCAAACCATGTATTTGTGTTGGTTATGGAGATGAAGAGTTTGGATATAGATTATAGGACCCAAAAGAGAGGAAGGTGTTCAGAAGTAGAGATGTGATATTATGAGAGAATAAGACATATGAAGACCTAGAAAAACCTATGATGACTAAAGGTCTAATTATTAAAGATATTATTCCAAAACCAGCACCCATTATCATAAAGAATGCAAAGGTGC